CATTCCTGGGAACACGGTCACCCGTGCATGCAGAGCGCTGGGCTGGGCCCGATGGCTTCCAGGCCTCAGTCCTCAGTCCTCAGGGTCACATCACAGGAGAGCAGGCAGGGAAGAGGTGCGTGGGCTTGAGGAGGGGGGTCACCTGGGGTAGGTTGGGCAGAGTCAGGGCCACCTGGGGCCCACAGTCCAGACTGGAAGGCAAGGCCAGTCAGTGGCTCATGCCTACCTGGCCACACACAGCTCAGGATGTCACAGGATTGCGTGATTGACAGAGAAACACAGCCACAGCCTCTTACGGCTTGTCCTTCCCATCTGGCTGGCCTTGTGACAAAGGTTTCACTGTGTGAGTTCACAGCCCAGGCCCTAGGAGGCCCTGAGCGTCCACTTCACTTGCAGTGTCGGCCGAGCCATGTGAGTGAGCCAGTCCACTTGGGCAGGATGGGGCCCCCCGACAGAGAGCCAGGTGGTCCTGCAACGCAGCCCCAAGTGTCCATGCATGGTGCCACTTGAGTCCTTCCAGCCCAGCTGACCCTCGGCTGACAGCAGCCCTGTGAATAAGGCCCTGGGGAAGCCACCAGCATCACCCACATCCACCAACCTGAGAAAGGACTCAGCCACGAAGACAGATGGGATTTGACTTGGGTTTGGTTTTGCAAAGTGAGGATGATGAAGGAAGAGGAGAGAGGGAAGGAGGGTGAGGGAGCAGACACTGTGGCTGGCCCGATAGAAGGAGAAGTGACGTCAGGTGACACAGAAGAACCTTGGTCTCATCATCCAAGGACGGCAGATCTGAGCGGCTGAAGGCGGGGGCGTGAGCTGTAAGGCTGGGAAGTGGCCAGAGGGCAAGAGTCACTAGGCTGTGCAGGAATTACAGTTATGAAAAAGGACACGGCCCGGGGAGCGGGTGGCCGGCCAAGGGGAAAAGGGCAGGACCACTGCTGGGGACAGGAAGTCCAGCAGGTCGGATTGTGAAATCACCAAGAACTATGACAGGAGTGGCTGGGGAAGGAGACAAGGAACCAGGAGTAAAGCCTTGAGCAAATGAGGGGAGACCCCCAGGGAGAGGTCTGACAGTGCGAGATTCAAAGCTGGGGCTTTTTAGGTGGAGAAGAGACTGGTCTGGAAGTGCCACGGAGGGAGACAAGGGAGCTCACCTCTCCCCAGGTGCAGTGGCCCAAGAGTGGACAGAAGAGCAGACCCACAGGCCAGCAAGGGAGGAGGCGCCCAGGCAGACAGGCGCAGCTGGAGGTTATGGGGATATGACTTCCCAAAAGCAGGGAGGTGTCAGCACTCAGATTTTGGAGAAAGATGTTGACAATGCCCAAACAATGGGAGATGCTGTTACTCATCAGGTGTCGGGGGACCATTCTTGCTGGGACAGTCTCAGGTGGCTGAGGGAAGGCCTGTTGCTCCTATGGCCCGAGGCTGGAAGAGCCCCCTTGGCAGTGGGAGTGGAGGTGGGGTGGGGACTGCATTGGAGCCTCAAAGGGTGTCATGGCCTCTGCCTGGGCCCCCGACATCTGGCCCCCTCATCCTGCATCCTGGATTCCTTGAGCCCTGGCCTCTGTCACTTTATGATTCCAGCTGACAATGGTAAACACTCAGCACCCAGTTCCCCCTCTCTAGGACAGAGCCTGCAGTGGTCCAGCCTGGTCCCCTGACAGCTCTGATCCTAGCTGCCCTCACCACAGGCTGCTGCCCCTTGGCAAGAAAGGAGGGAACAGATTCTAAGGAGGGTAGGGGAGGTGAGGGACAGGCGGTGGTCTCTCATGTCTGGAGTTCATGTGCCAGCGGAATATTGAGGGGGCCGGGGAAATGCAGTGTCCACCCTGTCAGAGGTTGGGAGGGGGTGTGCACAGACTGCACTTGGCAGGCTCTCAGGGACATTGGCTGGATGTTGTTGTGTGGAGTGCTGTCATGGTGGCCAGATGTGAGACCTGCCCAAGGTTGGAGCCCAATGTCTGTCCTGGAAGATACCTCCATCTTTCTCCACAGACTTTCCTCACTCAGCCCCCAACCCCCCTTCCATGGCCAACAGTGGGCCCTGGAGATGCCCCTGGGTCACCAGCCATCTGGGGCTTGGCCACTCAGGCCTGGAGGACAAACAGCTGGCCTTTGATGGTTCCCTGAAAGCACCGCATCATATGGAAAGGCAGACCTCAAAGCCACTGAGCCTCTGAAAATGCTGGAGAAAGACAGCGGGGAGGGGCAGTGGGAGAGAAAGGCCACTCTCTCTGGGTCCAGTGCTTGGTCCATCAGCTATTCTGGTTACTACTGCTGCAGAACAAACAAGTCCAAAATGTCATAGCAAAAACTGTCCTAGTCTGTGGACAGAGAGTTGGAACAGAGCAGGGGCAGCTGGGAAGGTGTGAGGTGGGTGGCTGAGCAGCTGCAGGTTGGGATCATCCGGGGGGGTGTCACTCACGTGTCTGGCAGCTGACACCTCGACCTCCGGGATGCTGGCTGCAATGCTGACAGCATGCCTCTCGGGGCCACTTTTGGCTCATAGTGCGGCATCTGGGTTCTAAGAGTGGCCCAAAGGAGCAAGGTGGACATATAGCATTTTTCAGATTCAGCCTCAGAAATCCTCTCTCACTAGTGCCTCCGTCCTTGCTGGTCAGTGTCCTCACAGTCTTATCAAGGACACTCCATAAGGGTACGTGGAGTGGGAGAGACCCTTGTGTCCATCTTTGGGTCTCAGAACCACTCCCCCACTGCAGCCCAGAACCCTCCTACATGGAGCAAAGGAGTCCCCTGGGCCTGACCAGAGGCTAAGTCCAGATGTGACAGACAGGGAGTGGACAGTAAGAGGAAAGGCAGCCTAGAGAGATACATACAATGGGGGTGCAACCCTGGGGGAAAGACACTGGGCGACGACCCTGGGGAAACTCACGTTCCTGTGACCTAGAGGGCTCCTTGCTGGGACTGGGCTGGGGGGCCAAGACACTGGGGACCTTGGGTGGGAGGCACTCCTCCGTCTCTGGAAGATGTGTGCACATGAGCCTGGGGAGTGCTCAGAGGGAGGAGGGAGTACACACAGCTCCTCCCTGCCTCAGTCTCCCCTCTGCTCAGTCCTCTCCCGCCGGCTTCGGGGGCAGTAACAGCTGCAGCTGATATGTACCCAGTTCTACAAGCTTCCAAAGTAGGATCGCATTCATCCTTCTAACAACCCCGGGATAAAGAAAGATAACCTATCGTCAGGTGACAAAACAGGTACATCTGACAACCATGGGAGAAAGAACGGTCAAGAATGTGGCTCCTCAGGCCTGTCCCTTCCAGTCAGAACCCCCTGCCTGTCTGGATTCCGGTTGGGGGCGGCCCAGAGCCCCCCCCAGACCGAGGCCCGGCGCCCCGCCCACCCGGGGCCAGGGAGGCTCAGGGCGGCAGTTTCCCCGCACGACTCCTCACGGAAGGAGGAGGCCCCGGCGGACACTGGGGGCACTCGGTGCCTGGACGGGGGCACAGCGAGGGCTCCACGGTCAGGGGGCTGCGAGCCGCCCTGGCACCGGACCGATCAGCGCTGCCAGGACTTTCTGTGCGTGCAGGGTCCCCTCGGCAGACCCTGCACGACCCCTGCAGCTTTCCAGCGCCTCCTCCCAACTCCTCAAGCCCCTCTGGGGCGGGCTCACCTCGATGAGTGACAGCTCGGCCTTGAGGCCGGTCCGGAGGCGCGCGTGCGTGGCGGGGTGGCTCTGAGCCGCCTGGAGCCGCGGAGAACCGCGGAGGGATCGGTCTAGCTCCAGCATACCGCAGGGCTTCCGAGAGGAGGGAGGTGGTACTGTGCTTGGCACTAGACTAGGGCCCGATTGGGACCCGTCTCTCTCAACGGAGCGGTTACTTTGTTTGCCGTCGCCTCCCGCATCGGACTAGAAGCCCCAGGACAGGGCTCCCCAGCCCCAAGGGCAGGCGGGGCCCCGTGGGCCTCGGAAACGTCTGTGGGGTGGGCACCAGCTGCCGCCAGGCCGTCGTGGGGAGGGGACCCTGAGGACTCAAGACTATAGTGCCCCGCAACGTAATTCAAAATGAAAACATCAAACATTGTGCCGCTTTGAAATGAATAAATCTTAACAGTTGTCTCTCATTTTTTTGTGAGCCCTACTTTGCTGGTGCTGACTCGATGTTGGGTAATCTGGAAGAGTGTGACATCACCAGTTCCATGATGTCACCCCATCTCGCTTGTGTCATCAACCACCTTCACTCTGAGACTTCACCTCCGATTATCTGGTGACATCGCGAGTCTAACCAGTGACATCCTTACATTGTCCCATGACGTCATCCTGCCTGACTGGAGACACCGCTCCAGCTGCCCTGCCGACAGCACCCTCACTGGTCTTAGGCCATCATTTAATTGTGCTGTGATGCCACCCTGGTTGCCTCGTGACCTTGTCCAGCCGACCTCCCTCCTGCCCAGTGGCTGGTGTTCCACGTCCACGGTGTCACAGGTCTTGCGTAGATGCTGCAGGCGGTGCGGGTCCCAGAGGCCGAGCACGCGGCAGGTCAGATTCGGAGGCTGTGCAGAGGCCCTGGGCCCGGGCGGGCGGGGACCAGGGACAGCGGAGGAGGAAGGAGGCGTGTTGGCGGAGGCTCGCCCACTCCTCGGGGGCGTCTGACTCGGCTCTCCTCGCAGATTTTCCTCTCCTATTTCCCGCGCCGCCCGCGGTGAGCTCTGCGCCCCACCCCGCCCTGGGCCCCAGTTCAACCTGAAGGTGAGCCTCCCAACTCGGCCCAGCCCCGGGGACCCGCGGCCCGGGCTGGCCTGGAAAGGCCTCCTCCTGGCGCGCCTCTCGGAACGCGGCGGCGCGGTGATTTTTCCCGCCTCGTCGATGCCAGCGGCGGGCGCGGGCGGGGTGTTCCAGCCTCCCTTTGTCACCCGCGGGGTTGGTGGGCCGGGAGCCAGAGCGTGACTGACAGTTGTCGGGGGCGGCGGCCGGGGGCGGGCGGCCCTGCGCCGGGTTGGGGGAGTGAGGGCGGAGCGCAGCCGCTCATTGGCTGGCGCGAGTGTGGGAAAGAATGCGGAGCCGGGTTCACACACCCCGCGGCGGGTCTTCCTTAAATAGCCCCGAGGCTGGCTGCCCGCGCGGGCCTGACGCCTGGGACCCGCTCGAGAGGGACGCGGGACGCCGTGCGCCCGCCCTCGGCCCTTGGCGGCGCGCTCCGCGGGATACCGGGAGGCGCGGGGGCGCACCATGCCTGCAGACACCACGGGGAAGCCGAGAGCTTCGCCGCTGACAGGAGCGTCGGCCAGAGCCAGCCGAACCCCAAGCAAGCCCCGGAGCGCGGCCGAGCACCGAAAGGTGGGACTTGGCGGGGCATGGGTTGGGGGACATGGGGTGGGGATGGACCCACGTGGGACTCAGCCACTGCCTCACCCGCAGTCCTCCAAGCCGGTTATGGAGAAGAGGCGCCGAGCGCGCATCAACGAGAGCCTCGCTCAGCTCAAGACCCTTATTCTGGACGCACTCAGGAAAGACGTAAGTCATGGGTGGGGGGTGAGATCGAGGCGCCGAGTCTCGGAGCCGGGGGCTTGGGGGCACTACTGGACCGCAAGTCGCCCACACTGGCCCTGCCCCCAGTGCTCCCGCCACTCGAAGCTGGAGAAGGCGGACATCCTGGAGATGACCGTGAGGCACCTGCAGAGCTTGCGGCGCGTGCAGGTGACAGGTGAGGCGCGGGCTGCAGCGGCGGGGACGCAGAGGGGACGGGGAAGCGCGCCGGATGACTGCCGCGGGCACCGACCACCTGTCCCCTACTGGCCCCCGCAGCCGCGCTCAGCGTGGACCCCACCGTCTTGAGCAAGTACCGCGCCGGCTTCAACGAGTGTCTGGCCGAAGTGAATCGCTTCCTGGCGGGCTGCGAGGGCGTCCCGGCCGACGTGCGTTGTCGCCTGCTCCGCCACCTGGCGGCCTGTCTGGGCCAGCTGGGGCCCTCGCGCTGCGCGGCCCCCCCGCCCCCCGCTGCAGAGGTTCCGGCGCCCGAGGCCTACGCGGGTCGTCAGCAGCTGCCGGCATTCGATGGCCTCTTCCCCGTGCTGCGCCCCGCGGCCACCTTCGCGCTGCCGCTCCTGCCTGGCCTGACTCGGGCGCCCCACGCCGCCCCCAGGGCGGGGCCGCAGGGCCCCGGCGTGCCCTGGAGGCCGTGGCTGCGGTGAGACCACGGCCCTCGGACTGTGGCGGAGGCCGCCCCGTTCTAGGGCCGCGGCCTTTGCTGAGACTGTTCCAGGGAATATGTATTTCCAGAGGCCGCGTCCAGAGTTTTATGTTTGTTTTAGTCTTTTCTGTGAAGTCCAGTCCGGCAGCGCCTGCGGCTGTGGTCCTTGGCGGCGGCGGTGGGGCGTCGCGCTGGTCCCTACGCCTGGCCCCGCCTCGTCCCCAGGCCCCGCCCCCGCCCCCGCGCCCGGCCCGGCCGGAGCGCCGCCGCGTGGGCCCGCCCGCGGCTTGCGTTTTCCCGCATCTGCGCAAGAGCCAGCGACCCGCCTTGAGGTGGGGGTTCCAGGTCCCTCGGGAGGTTCAGGCAGGAAGGTGACAGTAACCACGTTTTTCAGACTGCATCCTACTGTTGGGAAGCACTTGCCTCACAGGGCAAGTTTTTTTTAAGGCATCTTTCCCCACTCCTGGAGACGCTGGACGGTGGAGAGTTGTCTTTTCGCGTGGTTGGCCCTGGGCCGCTGAGCTGTGCTGAAGGGTGGCCATGCCCTGAAGCTTGAGTTCTGGTCTGATCCACCTCCTGCTTTGTTCTCACGGTTCAGCACCAAGCCGCCTGTGTCCCCTCACCCCATGGACTGAGCCTGTCCCAGGCCAGCGTCTGCTCAGGAGGGAGGTGCAAACAGGAGAGGGCATCAGAGTCTCCAGGGCAGGGAACTGGGGCGAGGCTGGCACAGGTCGCTTTGTGCTGGGGCTCAGGGGGTGCTCTTCCACCAGGGCCCAGTCCTGCTGTATGGCCGGCCCTGCCCTGGGAGGGGAGGGCCCCCCTAGCGGCAAGGGGCTGGGGGTTCATCCCGTCCATGCTTGGTCCTCAGCCCCTGCTACGCGTCAGCGTATAATACTAGGCAGCAAAACTAGGCGGATTGGATACTGGCCCTGGAATCACTGTCCTGGTTCGCAGGTCCCCCCAGCAGCTGCTGGGGGCTGTGCTCCAGGTGCCATGAGGGGTGGTCCAAGTTACACAAGCTGAGACTGGTGTGTGTCACGCTGAGCCCACCTGAGACTGAGCCAACATCCGTGTCCCAGCTGCAGCCCAGGTCATCAGATGGTTGGCTGCCGCCTGCCTTGCCAGGGTCCATCAAGGCGGAAGAGGGTGAGTCACTGCCGGAGGCTGCTCTGCTCCTCCAGCAGCTTCCGTATCTGTGCCATGGGCAGGGTTCACCTGGGCCCTCCTGGGTGAGGCCATGCTTACCTGGCAGGGACCTCCCAGTCCCCACCAACACAGTCACCCTCTGCTCTGGCTGCTTTGCCCATCTGACGCCCTGAGCGTCCAGGGCCTAGATGGTGGCAGCAGTGTGGGCCAGGTGTGCACCCTTGGACAATCACACTCAGTGGCCCTGTCCCTGGGAGGCCCTCCTCAGTGGAGCCTTGCTGAGGGTCTGTGCTGGGGGAGCTGGCAGCTCAGCTTGGTTGGGGCAGGGTTGCTGCTCAGGGAGGGCCTCAGTGCAGAAAAAGGGAGGAGGGCCTGGGGCTTTGTGAAGCTATTGGGTGGGTAGCAGGAGCTGAGCCCCACACACCCTGCAGGAAAAAGAGGGACCTCTTCACCTGTGTGGTCAAAAGGAGAAGGGCCCCTGGGGAAGGAAAGCTCTTGGAACTTGGGTCATCATGCTCTCCCTCCTTCCACAAGAGGGCAGCACCAGCTCTAGACCAGACCCCCCCCCCCTTCCACCTCCAGTCCCCTCCCTGTCTCCCCAACCCTAAACACCCCACTCCTGTTTCCCCCCACCCCGTCTTACTTCCTTACTTCCTGTTCTTGATCTCATCACCGTTCACACTGTTGCCAAAAGGATCTTTGCAGCCAGGACCCCCTCAGCCCTCAGGGACCCCTCTGGCTCTGGGGACCACACACAGTTCCTCACACCGGCGAGCTCCTTCCCGGCTCTGTCCCTTGGTGCTCAGCCTTCCCCTGGAATTCTCTCCCCACTTTCCCACCTGAGGCCACCACCCCAGGCTCTGTGTGCTCCAGAGGCCAGGGCCATGTCTGTCACTCACCTCTGTCCCCAGCACCCTCTTGGAACAGCTCAGTCCATACTGACCTAATTCATTAATTTGAGTGAAAAATGGAACCAGGAGATTTTGGGAGAGGTGTCGTCCTTGGTTAGATTAGGGAGGCCTGAGGAAGCACAGCCCTGCCTGAGGCTGGGCGCCCATGCTGAGGGGCTGCCTCGGGGCCGTCCCCACGCTGCCCCTTCCACTCTCCTCCCCATGCCCAGCCTGGACATCTGCTCAGGTCGGTGGAAAGCTGGGGTGGAACCCCTCAAGTGCTTTGCTACAGGCCCAGTGGTGGGAGCTATGGTCCAAAACTTGGGGTGCTCCCCCTTACACCAGGGTCTCTTCCTCCTCCCTACCCTTCCGCCCATTCCCACCTGTCTCCTGCCTCTCATAGGCTCTGGTGACACCCCCTTACCCCATCCCTATTTTTATCTCGGCTTTTGTCTTGCAGACACTTCCTGTTGAGTCATGGATGAAACGCATTCTCCTGGCCTGGCCCTGCATGGTGGTGGTGATGGTGTGGGGATCAGGACTTTCTCCTCCTGAGGGGAGGCCTGCTGGTCACTTCCCCTCTACAGTAGGTGGAGTCTTTTTCATCTTGGACCTACTTCCAGCCTGTTCTGGGAAGACCAAGGCTCAATAAATGTTTGTGGAATGCAAGTGCTGGTCAGCTGACCTACCTGCCTATGTGGGTGTCACAGCCCTGTCCATCTGGGTCCATCTGTCTGCCTGTGGGGTCAGGGCTTGGGGACCGGACAATGACAGCAAATCATAGGTGTTTGAAATCTGGAGAAAGAATTGGTCTCCATGGTGACTGAAGTCAGCCTGGCCGGGCCCATGAAATGCGGAAATTTGGGGTGGGGAGGTGGTAGGGCTGCTTGGGAGTCCTGGCTTGTGAGACCTGAAGCCTTAGGTCCCCGTCAAAGCTCCTTGGTCACCAGGAGCCTTCTCCCTGCCCCGCGAAACCCTGGCTCCCTGCAGCTGTGCCTGCTTCTCTGTCTGCTTCTTGAAGGAAGGGCTCTTCCCCTCCTGGGTTGCACCCTCAGGCAAGGACCAGACCCTGGGCTCCTCCCAGGAGGCCCCCAACGACACCTGTCCTGGGATGCAGCCTTGTGAATGTACCCAAATTGCCTGTGTGACCCATGGGGTTCAGCAGAAGCGATGTGATGTGTCATCGAGATGAGGCCGCCAGTGCCGCCTGTCTCTGTCTGTCTGCCTGTTTTTCGCACATCATTCACTTGGGAGAGACCAGTTGTGTTTTGCTGTGGAAAGGCCAACATGTGGCTGTGGGCCTCCTGCCAACAGCAATGACAGTGAGCCTCACAACAGGTCCTCTAGCCTGTCGAGCCCTCAGATGAGGCCCCAGCCCCTGCTGCTGTCAGGGAGGGCGACTTCCTGAGGGACCCTGAGCCAGGCCCACGCAGCAGAGCCGCTTCCCAACTCCTGGTCCTCAAACTGGGGGATAGTAAATGCGTGGTGTTTTAAGCTGCTAAATTTTAGGTTAATTTGTTATGCAGCAATAAATTACAATAAATCTTATATAAAATTCAAGATAAATATAAATAACAATAGCAATAAACAAACAACTAACCTGCCCACGGTCACACAGGGCCCACCACCAGCTGCCCTCATGACGATGATTGCTGATTGCGGAAGAGGTGGGGTGAGGACTGGGATCAGGCGGGAGTAAACCCAGAAACGGCCCTGCAGCTGTCGTTTGTGGACTTTGATTTGGTTTCTCAGAGAGCCTGACATGGGTGGAACCCGCCATGCTGGTGCTGACCAGCCACAGCCCGAGCCCACCCCTGTGGCATTCCGGCGGGGCTGGGGGTCATTTCTGTGCCAGTAACTGGTGGGGCACCCAGGGTTGGAACAGGAGGCTGAGGACTCTCCGGCCCAGACTTCAAACAAGGACAGGCATGGGAGACACTCCATGCTGAGACCCCAGAGCCCACCACCCTGGGTGGGCTTCAGCTGGCCCTGCCACCCACAGCACAGACCCTGACATGCCCGGACCACACTGACTCTTTCTGCAGCCTGGTATCCATGGTTACCAAAAAGCACCTGGCTGCTGCTGCCCCAGAGGTGTCACTTTCTGGAGCCCACCTCGCCCTGATACCCACAGGGTCACCTGGTGGCATTGGGCTCACGTCCTGGGCCCCCCCTGGTGTCTGCCTAGAGGGAGCTGGCTCAGTGATGTGTAGAAGGTCAGTGTTGGAAGCTGAAGTGCTGTGCTTGGCCCTTATCAACCCAAGCTCCCACAGCGAGGGAGGTGCACACACCTGAGCCAGTAGTAGCTTCCCACCTCGGCCCTCCCATCCTAACCCATGTGGTGGGCCGGGCGTGGGGCCTTCCCTGAGCCCTGGTTGTCCAAGCCAGAGGCTGGAGGAGGAAGGGCTTCCCCATGGCTCCCCCCCAGCACCCCTTGCTCTGTCTAACACAGTGAGGGGAGAGACCCAGCAGCTCCAGATGTGGGGAGGTGCCATTGTCCTCTCTTGGCCCCCCAACTTCTGAGCTGACCACAGCCTGGGCCAAACACCCAGACCCAGAGGGCCTGAGAACGCCCAACTCCTGACCCTCCCTTCTCATTGTCTCCCAGGGCCCCAGGCCCTGGACGTCAGCTCTCCCTGCCAAGCCAGGATCAGGACAGTGTTATGCAGGCCCTGGCTAAGCTCGTTTTCTCTGTGTGGACCCCGAGTGAAATGCCAGATGGGATGGCATCGTCTGGCTGTGCTGCCATTTCCTCCAGGAATGTGTCCCAAGGAGCTTGGTCTCCTAGGAGGTGAGGGTAATGCCCCAGGAGCTGAGCTCACTGGTCTGCCACTCAGACTTTTCCTGATCAGAGACCAGGTGCTCCGGACGGAATGAGTCCCCTGACAAATGTATCGCCCACAAGGTGATGGTGTGAAGAGGTAGGGCCTTTGCAGGGTGATGAGGTCGTGAGGGTGGGGCTCAGGACATGAGGTCAGACTTGCTGGCTCTCTGCCATGTGAGGACACATAAGGAGATGGCTCTCACCAAAACCAGATGGTGCAGGCACCCATATTTTGGACTTGCAGCCTCCAGGACTGTGAGAAATCTTTCTCTATGGTCGATATGCCCGGACTGAGGTCCAGGGCTTTATGCTCCCAGCCGCCTGCAGGCTAAAGCTTCGGGTGGCTGGGCTGATTCTCCACTGTGCATGTGGCCCCCCTCTGGCACTAGGCCCCATGGGGGACCGCCCCCAAAGCGCAGGCACACACAGCCGGGGACGGGGCCTGAGGACCTGCAGGTTTCTCAGATGACCTTCAGTGAGCCTTATCCTCAGCCTCCAATTTGACTTCCAGCTCAAGTCCAACAAGGTGAGGAGACAGGTTGCACCCAGCACGAGGCCCGGAACGCTGGGGAAAGCCCGGGCCAGCCCGCCTGGAGCTTGGGAGCGCATGGGGTAAATTAAAGTACCTCTGATGTTCCAGTCCCTCAGCACGTGGTGCTCCGGGCCTGTGGGGTGACTGTACGCGTGTGTGTGTGACCAGGTTGTGGGTTTCTCGGCTGCCACACACTGGAGTCCTAGGTGCACAGCCCCCTCAGGTCCGTGATCTGGTGTTGGGGGAAGTTTGGGGGGGAGGGGGGGAGGGAAGCAGTTACCACCTGTTCCTGGAGCTCCACTAGCCTCTGGGCATCCAGGAATCATCCCACCCAGAACTAGGCTCACCTGGGCAGGTAAGTGAGGCCGACAAGCATACAGATACAGAGGTGCAGTCATGGAAGGGTGAGACGCAGAGTCGGACACAGAAACCCCCACAGAGACACAAACTCAGACCCCTTCAGTCTGCTCTGTGTCTGGGAAGCCCACAAACAAGCCTCTTGCACCCACTGCCTCAGCCTCACAGGTTAGCACTCGAGTGGTTCAGGGAAGGCTGTCAGCACCGCCCGGGGATAACCCTACTGCTGTCACTTAGTTGTGTGACCTTGGGCAAGTCACAGAATCTTAAATGTAACATGGGATTCGTAATACACCTGC